AACTAGTCCAGCATAGTAAATAAACAAAACATTTATACACAATTATGTTTCAATAAGTGCACTACAAATATGGCATGTGTTTCAAACAGAAAAAAAATTTTAGTAACCTTTAAGCCAAACTGTGTTTTTTTGGGGATAATCAAGACAATAACTGACTGTAATATGTGTCTTAGGCAAACCAGATGTAGTCCCAAGTGATATAAAAATTGATGGAAGGTACAATCATGTGACCCAAGTACAGGAGAGACTTAACTTTCTCAGGTACTGAGTGTATGTGAAACAGATATGAAAGGACCAGAGAGTTGTACAGTGTATATACACAGCTCATACACAAATTTTTAAAAACAAGAAGCCTTATTACACATGTCAAAACATTTCCCCTTTTCTCATCTTTGTCAGTGTTGACAACAAGTGAACTAGACTTCCTGAAAAAAGAAAGAGAGATAGTGTAGTGTTTCAACAAAAACTTGTCAAGACTTTTCTGCACATTAAAGGGGTCATACTTTATTGATAGCCTTTAACTGACCCCACCAAGCCTCAAGAAACAACTACATGCTATTCATATTTTTAAGTGCTAGTTAAAAAATCATTTTTTGTACATCCAGTGAAAATTGATACCTAACACAATGCAGACTGATTTTTTTCCTGGAAAGTGGTGGCAGGGTTGTCTTAGGCAAAATTTGATGATTCTCAGAGGAAAGACTTATCATCACAAAGTAAAATTTGAGACTGATGTAAGGCCAGTAAAGCAGTAATATGGTGAAACAGGCATCTTACCTTCCTTTAGTTATGAAGTATACTTGTACTTTACTAGTGGTAATTCAAACAAAGAAATGTTTATTTTGCTAACAAAGACAAAGCACTATGTAGCACCCAAACAGACCAAATACTTGATTGAATCTCTGCACTTGAACAGTAAGTAAACAACTGTCTGTTAGCTAATCTGTTTCATATACTTCTTTTTTCAAGGTTTCTTCTCAAGGATGGACAGTTATGGCTATGTGAACACCAAGCCAAATTGGTAAGTCAACATTGATATCTGTCAGTTACTAAATTTTCAATTATCAGTCAGTGAATTGGTTAATTAGGGGCTGAGTGGTTTTGTGACTGAGTTATAAACTTCATTTTGTTACAGATCTGGCAGTGTCTTGCAGAAAAAGCTGTTTTATCATCAGATAGGGAGAGTTGCTTCAAGTGGTTTTCAAAAGTAATAAAAGTTGTGGTCTACCCTAATAATAATGCATGTACAGTCTTGTATGATTTTATGAGGCCTAATATTTAGTAATTTATTTGGTGTTCATTTTGAAACACTAGTCAGTTCACAAATTCAAAACTTTTAGGATGCAAAACATTTGCAAGGACAAAGGTATAAGAAGACAAATAATATACACATGTAAAGTGCAGCATTCATGTTGCAATAATTGATATGATTTAAAAGGAAATGGATTTCTGTAATGTCCTTTATCAAGGTGAACATTAGCAGAGGTTCTGCCCAACTCCTCAATTGTCGGCTATGGCATGGATGCATTATTTTACCTTTTTTTCTGTAGTTGATGGGGGATGAACCAGACGTAGATCCTGAAATCTGCAGATCATTCTTTGAAGGAAATGTCCTCAAGTTAGATCCTTCTCTGTTAACAGAAAATGGCATAAGGTTTGTGATAAAAAAAAAGTTTAGTAGGGTGCACATTGCACCATTTTGCACCATCCTTTTAGCACACAGTACTGTGTAAAAGTAATTAACAATTGCCAAATTTTCTAGCTGCACAGGGCTTTTTGATCAAAATTCCATCCAAACTTTATTTTTGTGATATTTCCAAGAATTAGAGGCACTTGATTTGCTGTGAATGTTAATGAGTCAAAAATCATAGGGAAACTTTGCTCCTCCCAATCATTAGCAGAGATGTTTCATAACCAAACCTGTAAGGTGCATTCCTTCAAAACATGCTACTTGCCATCAGTATGGAGGTGTTGAAGGTTTTTTTGTTTATCACAAATGAAAGAAACTTACAAACTTATGGAACACAAGAACATTTTTTGGTCTTTAACCACTTGTATTTTCACATCCAAAGAGGAAAGCTGCATTAAACCTCAAAATAATTTTGAATGAACAAAACTTGCAAATCCAATATTTTTTTCCTTTTTCATATCAGGTGTTTTGAAAGATTCTTTAGAGGAGTCAATGTCAAAGAAGGTAAACTAGTAGCTAAGAGAAGAGCGTACTTAATGGAGGATTTGGATTTGATAGGAGTGGATTACTTATGGCAGGTAATTACTCATTGTTCATGCTGAAACTACATATTTAGTTCTTAGATGTATTATCTGAATGCTCCTTTGCATCTCAGTATTTGTCAAACAGGGTTGAATATTTTTGTTCATACTGAAAGTGGTTTGTTACATCACTGCATCACTTCTGAAAAGAGTCTTCACGATTTTAATGTTATTCTCAATACTAAAGCTTATAGAAAGTGGTGTGGACTTCAAAATCAAACAAAACAGAGAGTCATTTTGATCAAGGAAAATCGTCTACTTCTCTGGTTTTACATAAGTTGCAAATACACATGCATAGCTATTACCATTGCAGTTTACAGTTTTTCAATGGTTAAGAATTTTTCTAACCAGTGTCATCTGCCATGATTTTCAGGTGGTACTTCAAGGTTCAGATGACATTGCTGGTCGTGCCATTGAACTGCTTAAGGAGACTTTCACCTCCCTTGGACCTAAACTGAGGGCTACACAGGTATTTTGAAAAATTGACATTCAGAGGACAAGTCAAATTGACCAATAAATGTATATCTTTTCTTCATTTTTGATCAAAAATTTAGTTGAGTTTCTGATGTCATTACTCTGCAAATTTGCATATTTTAGAACTTGAATGGCTATTGAGAAGAAGAGATGAGTGGAAGTATTGAATAGCTTTGTTCTTCCCACGTAGACTTTAGATTAGACTGTCATCATAGTAGTATGTACAGATGTACAATGCAGTGATACCCTAAATAAGCTAGGAATTAGTTTGATTGTCATTTCATACACTAAAAGACTAACATATATTATTTCAGTGAAATATTCCTTCGAAGAATGTGGAAAATTGACAATCTGGTAGATCAAAACTTCTTACCTGAAAAATTATATTTTATTTTTTAATTACCTATATGAAGTTGCTATGTAATATTGATACTTCTACAGGTTGACATTCATGAGAAGTTCATCCTGAATTGTACAAACCAGATTCGCCAATCAGCAGATGTATTTTCTAATAAGGGTACAGAGATCACACGTATTGAAGACAAGTCTCCAATTCCAAAGGAAAAGCTTCAGCAAGAAGCAAAGAAAACAGTGAGATGTCTGACAGTTCTTAAAGAATATGTTGCTGAGTGTGATGATGAACATGCAGAGGAACGAGCAATCTTACCTCATGGAAGGTAGATATTGTGTTCAAATTATCTTCTAAATGATGCACTAGGTGACTAAATGTTTCTCTGCTCTGCAGGTCATGCCGTGGCCGACATGTTTCACTTATTGTCAGATTCCCATCCCATGGCCGCCAGGGAGAAGACTTTGAGATTTGGTCACACACAAATGAGTCTATCGCGTCCGTCAGACGACAAGTCATGAGCAGGTTTTTTGTTTATTTTTTTGAATTTGAAAGATAGTCACACTTATGGTGTATTCGTTAATATTGCTAAATTATTGCTTGTCTGTTTGTTACAACAGGTTGAAGAACTCTTTACAGACAGCCAGGCTTGATCTGTATGTCAATGGAGAGATCCTCTGTCCTTCTGATGACAAGAGACTAATTTCACAAGTGCCATTGAGAGACAGGACAGTAAGTGTTAGACTTGTATTTCACTTACATGTATGAATGAATTTGCATTTGACAGTTGTGTTGTTGTTGTTTTGGTTTTTTTGAATTGATCCTTATCTCACATCAGTAGAAACTAATTATTTTTCCTGTGGAAAGTGACATAAGGTGGTACCAGGGGGTTAACCTGACCTTTTTGAATTGCTTTTATTTTCTCACATATGAAAGATTTTTGTTTAAATCTAGCCTATTTGCAGAATATGATGATAGGAAAATGTGCCTTTATTTGAAATACAAGCAGGAAAAGTTTTGTTTTGAATGATGATACTTGTGGCAAAATTTCAAGGCATTGCAACAAATCTGTCATGAGATATCTTATTCCAAAAACTGTTGAAAATTCACCAAATTTTTCCTCTTGTACCCCCATGTTGTTTTCATGAATTGAATTAAGGATCAAATTTCTATTAACAGTTAATAACAGCCAAGATTGGAACAATGAATAGCTCCATGCCATCATCACCTGATTCATCATCAGACTCATCAGGGGGGTCTACACCAGCTGCTCTGGATGGTCCAAACTTAGATGCTGAGAACTGCCTTCCAGGAGTGGTAAGGAAGATTAAAAGATGACTTTTTGGTTAACAAATCATTAACCGCAGTTGGAAATTTTGGTTTTGTGTACAGGTGTATGTTCGTGGTTGTATCTTTTATGAAGCATATAACAGTGAACTTACTTACTTTGATTAACAAATTTCAAATGTTTTCCTGATTAAATGATACCAGAACACCTGTACTTTTAGAAAGGTTACACCACTGTTGCCTTACATTTTGTAATAAGTGTACTGTGTCATCGAAGAGAACAACTACCTTGTTGAGGTACAGTCATGTTCAGCACCTGATGTATGATACCCATTAATTGTTATCTTTAGATGTTGTCCAAACGGCACAGCTTTATGCAATACCTAATCGATCTATCTGATCAAGGTATAGCTCATAACATTCCAGATCTAAGGGAGAGAGTTCAACAACTCCTTAATCTCATACCATCAGGTGAGTTGTGTTTATATGCAACAATTAATTTCCAACAGTTTTATTAAATGTCAATATTGGCTTGAATTACATTTTCAGTCCTCTACATTTTAAAACAACATGTGAATGATTTTCTTCTAGACACAGAGACAGTCGGAAATATCAAGAATGTTTGTCGAGCATCTTCAGAAAACAGTTCTAAAACATCTTCTCCTTTACTTGACAACATGTTCTTTATACCCTCTTCAACACAAGTTCTTTATAACCTAGAGGTATAGTACATGATGTTTGCCAAATAAATAGATACAGTGAGATGCATATAAACTTTAAGTGGTATGATATTAAAAAACAAGGTGGGGTCTGTAAGCTGATCAGTCAATGGCATGCATACATCTCTACCCAAATATGGAATTAAACTATTGAGGCGCTAATAATGATTGTAAACAAAATACATGTATGAATAGTACATGAAGTGCTGCTTCACCCTTGATTTCCCAACAAAAATTTATCTTGAGCATTACTCTATGGTAATGGAGGTATGGTAATATTCTGTAGCTGTTCCTTGACATGGATGTCACCTTTATTCCTTATTTTCTTTAAGATTGTTTATTCCCTTCTAATGCCGGCTGCATTACCCAGTCAAGATCACCAAACTTTAGAATTCCAGGTGCGTACTGTATGTGTAGGATGTATGTCTTAAATGAAGAAACATTAAGGCTTGTGGGGCACTTATGCAGCTTAGCCTTCATATTCCAAAATCTCAATCTCAGTATGCAGTAAATCAGACTGAACTTCCATCAAAATTAATGGTAATCATATTAATCGTAGCATATTGTATTAATTTAATTGTGTGAATTTGAAGGTCAACTTTTTGAAATGTGGAGGCATTCAATGCATTCTTAATATGCTGACAAGTACAGAATTCCTTCAACATGCTGATGTAATCACCAAAAGGTACACAATAGAATAGAGACACTGAGCAATGAAGTGAGGCACCAATTCTTATTGAGGGTAGTCTGTCGTTGTTTGACAGAAAGACAAAATTGATAATAAACTTGATTTGGACAAAATATGTGGGTTGCATTGTTAGAAACATTGTTGTCTCCTTAATTGTTACCTGTGTGTAGCTGTTTCGTTACATTAGATTGGTGGCATTTTCAGTACCTTTTTATATGAGTAGAGTGAAACATACTTTCACCAGTTACTCTTAAGCATGCAACCTTATGTTTTGATGGTTAAAATTTACATGAAGCTAGATTTATGATCTGTTTTCTATCAACATTTACTTACAATATTTCCCTTCTTGTCCTCTCACTTACAGAGCTGCATTCTACACACTCCTTAAAATGGCCAAGTTGTTGCTGACAGTAGTGGGTTACGCTCAAGTAACAGTGGTAGCAGAAGCTATTCAACCCTCAGACCCATCCTGTTCCCCTCCTCCAATCTCTGCTAGTGCTCATAATGCGGCAGTCATATTACAGCAAGCCTTGCAGTATATTCCTAACCCTGGCACAGAGTGCATGTTACGGAACATGGCTGTTAGACTTGCCACTCACTTGAGTAGCCAGGTAAGTAGGTACAGAAAATAACACACTCAGGATGTGGGTGACAAAATGTTGTTGCAATTTAGTTTTGAGTACAAGAAAATGAAAAAAAAGGGAAAAAAAGAGAAAAAATTTGGTGTGGCTATAATTAAAAAAATTCCTTGCTGTCAGCACTAGATTGTGACATGTAGAAACTCACACCTCTTTTTGCCTCTCTTTATGTGAGGCTAGAAATAATTTATATTCTGCTTATCAATATCTTGATACACACTGAACTTCTGTAGGTTACAGAGCCATTACCCGATCTAAATGCAGTCAAGTCTGTGCAGCGGTTATCTTGGGCTGCAGGTGTGGGCATGCTACATCTTATACAGTCAACAAATGAAGAAATACATAAAGCCTATGATTCAAAGGTGAGATTTTACATTTTTTCTCTTAACAGTTTCCTTTTCCTATTAAATTTATGAAAAGAAAATGAGGGAAATAGCTGTTTGGTGAACAAAACACAATTTTTAAACTGCACACAACACCGGGTACTTTTTACTCCTAAACAAAGTTTTGAAGTTGTGTAAAGAAACTCAGTGACAGCCTTGGTGAGCTCACTCTGTTTATTTTGGTGTAAATATCTCCTCACTTACATTCATGTGGTTGAATGTGGACAAATACTGTTTTTTCTTGTTTGCAGACAAGTACAAAAAGTCTTGATAATGATGACATTCAAGTGGCAAGAGAAGCACTTGAAGTAAGTTATTCCATTCCTAATTATACTATATTACTGTATTTAATTCTCAAAAACAGTAGTTTTTAACGAATCAAACAAAAAAGGAGACTCCCTTTACTGCTCTTTAAAGAGTTCTACTGTATTTTATTATCTTGGGATCAATTACCTGTTTGAAGTAGAGGCTGACAAAAGATTTAGAGCACAACATGAGTTATTAACAGTAACTTCTTTGAGTCTGACCTGGAGACTTGTACAGAATGAGAAACATCTCCTGGTTTCATGTACACTGAATTAAATAACATGCTAAAGCTGTATGAACTATTAATAGGAGCGAGTAACAAGTACATATGCAATGTATGGTCTAAGCTCTTTGTGTAATTCCTTTTCCATTATAGGTGTTAAGTGTGTGTTTAGCCTTATGTCCAAGTCTCCTTGAAACTCTCACAAAGGACAAATCCTGGCAATGTTTTATCATTGATCTCCTTATCATGTGTCAAAGCAGGTATTCTAATTTATATATTTTTGTTTTTTCATGTTATGTACCACATTCCTTGAAATAGTGCTTTAAAGGAAAATCATAGCCTGTTTGTATATGACAGACTCTGGCAGTGTGTATCTGATCTTTTTTCTGTTTCATTCTGTGTAGAGCCATCCGATGTAGCACAGCAGAACAGTTCTTTCTGATTGCCACACGATGTTCCCACGGTCACAGACCACTTATCTTTTTCATTACACTTCTTTTTACTGTGCTTGTGGTGAGTGTTTATAGATACATTGTCTGTAGACATGGCACTCACTCTTTGTTTAACCAAGGTGGATTTAGTTTAATTTTAAGGTCATAACTTGGCTTTAAACCAGTGACTAGCTTATACTTAATTTCAAATTGTGGTAATAATGGAGATAAATAGTAACTCATGAACATGCGATTAGGAATCCCTCTGCAGTAGAGGACCAGACTGCTAACATCTTGAATTCACGAACAGTGCTTTGAGCGCGAATCTCAACGAGTTTGCTGGAAAATTCCAAAAGGCATCTAATTAGTCTTTTGGCTGAGACGAAACGGTGTATCATACCAGCAAAGAAGTATTTTTGACAAGTATTTGACAATTTTTTCTTTGCATGATGCAAAAATTTTACCGTTCAGGTCATACTCTAGTGACCTACTTCAGTAAAATATGACCTTAACGACGAGGTCGTGCTACTTAAGATATCAGTTATTACAACAGGAAAAGGATCATACGTTATTTCAACCAGATCGACTTCTGCTTGATAACAAATTGTAGTGTTTCACTTTTTGGCTGATGTGAACTAAGCGTTACTGTTTTGTACCTCACTCTTAGACATGTTAGGCAAACAAACTCTTTTGTTATTACCAAATAGTGTTCTGCTCCATGCGTTGTATTTGTGATTGCCGTTATTACTTTGTTGACTTGTTAGCTTTGACTTTCGCTTGCAGAACTCTATTAAGGATCATGCTGGCTCCTCATATGAATACTTTAGCTTGTTTTGCAAGTGAGTAGCAATAAGAGCGTGGTTAGTCATAGTGGTTAATAAATAAGCGTTATCGACCAAGCGTGAGGTCAAGATGGTTGGATATTGGTTGAGGTCATTTTTTTTGCGTTCCTATGGACTAAGACAAAGTCGAAGTCGTGAAAACGGAAAAGAAGACGGGGCTAATATCCAGCAATCTTGACCGAACAAGCTTGGTCAATGAAGGATTTATTATATAACAAAAAGATTTTGCTGTGTTAAGAATCAAGAATTACTTGTTTATTTCGAGAGACGGGAGGGAAAGCTAACTGTCCATGTAGCATAATAAACCCACGAGAGCCGTTATGTTTTCTTAATTTGACTATTTTTAATGCTTTTAGCGACCCCACCGCACACACTGTCAAAAAAAAACGAACCTTTTTGTAAGTTCACCTCGAGCAATTTTCTTTTCTCGCGCGGGGTCAAAGTGAGCAATCTTGAGCGGACAGATGGGCTGGATAGCCAATCAGAACACGGGATTCGCTTCATAGTGCCAACGGGCACTGCCAGCGATATGATAAAGGACAATAGTGGTAACGAGTTATACTTTTCAACAGGAATAATGAATTGAAACCATAGTGAGATTTCATTTGGATGATTAGATTGAATTGCCCTTTCTCCCTTCATAAACAAAGAAATCATGAAACTTCAACTAAAAGTTTGATTGCTTGAGTTAATATTTGCACACACCTATACAAATCTTACATGCATCTTTAACTTTGAGCAAACTATCCATGCATTAGTGCCTTTCAACGAAAACGGGAAGTGTTTCCTTTCAAGCTGGATAGTATTTTGTACCTTACAAGTTTAGTTCCATGACCAGTGTGTTATAGAATGTGCATTGGATTAGCCTGCACTTTTAATCAAATTACATTCTTGGTTTTAATTCATAGATTACTTGCCCATGCCTTCTTAACCCATTGTCCCCTGCCTACGGCTGAGATGATGCTGAACACTGAAATAACATGGCTCAAAAAAGCAAAGGTTAGTTACTAGGAATATGACTCACTTAAAATCTATTGCCAAATTCTGATTCCATAAGTGATCGTACTTGATTTGTGCCGGATGATTATCTTTGAATCTACGATTTACTACTTAAAGTACCTTCTTCTTTTACGATATTAATATTAATATTTATCATTGTGAAATAAAAACAAATGCCGTAAAGCTGTCACGATACTAACTTATGAGTAGGCTCCCTTTTCCGACAAGCGAGGTCCACAAGGGGCCTGGCACGAAAATGAACCGCAGACTCTTCACAGACGTCTCGCTGCTCACTCCGCAGCGCTAACGTTCTCAGGCTATCACAGTACGAGTTTTACTAATGGCTGATTCATTTCTGTTGTTTATTTCAGGATTTAGTGCTATCATCTGAGGAAGGTAGCTCTGCAGTGGATGACTCCCTGTTAGAAGGTCACCTTGGAGTTACAAGAGAATTATTACTTTTCCAGTCAGCTCAGAAGAAATTTGCAATTGGCTCACAAAAGGATGGGCCTAACCTTATTAAGGTATAGATATCAAATAGACATTTTAGAAACTTTAACAATACTTTAGGCATCTTGAAATACAGCTTGCCCATTGTATATGAATGAAACAGAATTGTTCAATGTCGATTTTTGGTCTTGAACTTTTTTTGCTTCTGTGACCATTTTTGTAGATTAATAAGTCTATTTTATTGTTAATTCAACAAACATGTAATGAAAAATCTGCATGTGAAGCAGATAATCTAGCCCACACTTACTACACTTCAGTAGGTCATTAAGTTTGTCGTTTTGTATTTGAACAAGTTGAAAATTGTTGCCTTCTAGGATCTTGTGGAGGACTTCATCTTCCCTGCATCCAAGCTTATCATTGATGCTAGGAATGGTAATGGTAAGGAATACAGTTTTGTCCTATGTTTTGCTTTTCAAAGCCAATTACCTGTTGATAGAAACTGGCTTTGGTTAGAATCTGCCATACCAGTATTGTAACCATGTGATTTCTTTTGCTAGATGACGTTTGGAACAAAAGAGTCACAGCAATCTGCTCTACCCAGACCACCATGGTAGCTGCTTTTGATCTCTTAGTTGCTCTTTGCAGAGGCTGTGTTCAAAATCTTAAAGTCTTAGCTGACATCCTCACTGATTTCTACTACTCTGGTAAGAACTGATTTTTTTTTTTACCTCATTCATTTTTTGTTTGTTTGTGTCTTTGCCACAAGTAATTTGTGTTGCACGGACCCTTTGCAAGGACAATTGCTCCTCCCCGTCCGTTTGTCTTCACATTTAAGTGTGCTTCTGATGTAACCATCCTTTAGGTTACGAACAGAACTTAAATAATTTTGTCATTTAATTTATTTCCTTTAAGGTTTTTCGTGAGAAACCAAGCCAGTCTCATCTGTGTTCTCCACCTTTCGCATAATGCGTTTTTATAATTTGAAATATCTCTTTTGCAGGTGAGGACCCTCCTTTGACAGAATGGGAACATTTACCCCCGATTGGGCCACGCCCATCCAAAGGTTATGTGGGGCTCAAAAATGCAGGGGCTACATGTTACATGAATTCTGTAATTCAGCAGGTACGTATAATGTTTACTGTCTAAGTATTTTTCAATCTGTCTGCCTGTTGTAACTTTCCATGAAAGAGAGCCCTCAGTTCCCAGTGGAGTGAAAGTGTACACGTTAGTTGTTGACTCCTCTGGTGAGTTTTTTTAGGGGTTTAAGTGATTGTCTAAAGCAGGTTAAATTTTAAATTTTAAGTGACTTAGTGAAAGCTAATGACATCTGCGTGTAGAGTTGATGTTCCCACCAAACCCTAGTGGCAGTTTTTTCTTTAGTGCACCTTATTTACATGATATATGAAATAAAAATAATTAACATTCTGTGGTTTTTCAGATTACAATCGCTAATTTCATTTTACAAAGTGCTGTGAAATATAGGAATGTTTGTGTTATCTTTGTGTTATGTATGACTACGGCTAACACGTTAGCATCGCTTTTTTCAGCTTTTTATGATTCCTGAACTACGTGAGGGTGTTCTGAAAGTGGAAGGAGCTGCACAAAAAGAAGAAGAGGATGGTGTGGACGTGGAGGAGAAATCTGAGAGTGAGAACACCATAGACACTGGATATCAGTCTGAAGACAACAAAGACAATGATAAGGACACTGACACTAACGATAAAGAACTGGAGATAAAGAGATATCAAATCAGTGTGCTTAATCAGATTCAGTTCATCTTTGGACATCTGGCACAGAGTCAGCTGCAGTTCCATGTACCTCAAGGATTCTGGAAAACGTTCAAGTGAGTCCATCTTGCTTTTTCTTAAATTTCTTTTTACTAACTGAAGCCTTGTCAGTCCAAGACGCTGCCATTGTTTGGTGACTGGTCTATCTTACATACAAACTTTTTGCACAGTGAAGCCTTTTGATATTACAAGGATCAGTGAATGCAGGAAATGAATGAACCACGAACTATGAAATAGATTTCATCCAGATACGTTTTCATCAGAACCAGTGATGAACGTTTTCCATTCAAAGCTGGTTTTCTGTATGAATGTGGATTTCTTTAATGTCAGTCAACTTTGTTTGGCGTAAATGATGTTACTTTAGTAAATGATGTTCGTGCTGGTAGAGTTTGACTCTTATATCGCTACTTTGCAGGTTGTGGGGTGAACCAGTAAATTTACGCGAACAGCATGATGCTCTGGAGTTTTTCAATAATTTGGTCGATAACTTGGATGAAGGTCTAAAAGCGCTGAGTGGCGACCCGCTGTTTTCCAACATACTGGGCGGTAGCTTTGCTGATCAAAAGATTTGTAAAGGATGTCCTCATAGGTGCGTATGGACATCATTCTTTCCAACGAAAAAATTCAACGTGCTAAGTATCCTCTGATCAATTGGCATTTGACTTGTATTTCTACATCCACTTTGTATGAATTTAGCGTTAAGTTCACTTCGGCCTTTGTACAGCAGAGGTAAATAGTATGAGGCAGTACACACATATCAGCCCATTTTTGTAGAACTAAAACACTGCGAATTATCTTACTAACGTTACTCTGGACAAAACGTGACAACACTGTTGCATTATAGTTTATTTGTATCGCCATAAATTCCATTGTGTCCTCTACCTTTCCTTGATGTACATTGGGTTCTGTTGCATGTTATATTATCCTTTCTACAATCCTCTCTGCCACCAACTGTATTCTCAGACGTCATGGTTTTTTAATTGTAATTTAGTCATGTGATTCGTTTTACTTCAGGTATTCCCGTGAAGCACCATTCATTGCTCTGAATGTGGACATTCGTAATCATCAGAGTTTAGTGGATTCTTTGGAACAGTTTGTTAAGGGAGATTTGTTGGAGGGCGCCAATGCTTACCACTGTGAAAAGTGTGATAAAAAGGTCATTATTATTTCTGCTGTTCTTTTAACCTTAGTTTGATACTCATGTATTTCACAGTTCCTTTATGGTCGGATACATTACGATTTTAACGCATATGTTGTGGAAAAAATATTAACCAAACAGGGTGACATCAACAGTTGTACTGGTGAAGTCGATTGATGCGTGTGGTTTGAGGAATAAGAGCAGAAAGTGTCCGGATTTACTTGCAAGGTTAATGTGTTGACTAGTTTGCGTGAGTAATGAATGTTATTTACTGTCCTGTTAAATTTAGGTTGACACAGTCAAACGAATGTGCATCAAAAAGCTTCCTCGAGTACTGGCAATTCAGCTGAAGCGCTTTGACTATGACTGGGAAAGGTAACTTAGAGTCCTTTACACAGCTCCACTTGTTTTATTCTTCATGACTTTTATTGACTCTTATCTTAAGCAGTGATTTATTTGTTCCTCTCTCTCCCTCTCCCTTTCTCCCTCCCCAGAGAGTGTGCTGTTAAATTCAATGATTACTTCGAGTTTCCACGTGACATGGATATGGAGCCTTTCACAGAGCTTGGTCTTGCAAAGCTTCAAGGTATGTTCACACATCAGGTTAAAGAACCCTTATAAATCCTTGTTACTTGGAAGTCTTTCACCAGCCTTTTGAGTGTTTTTGAGAAAAATCGTTTCTTCTGATTTGGTTTTCAAACACACTCACTAATGCCGGATACGATGGAAGACTCGCACTTACCATAACTATTTGATATACCTTGTGAAGGGAATACTTTACTTTCGTTCTCTTGTGTGATTGGTAAACTTAGTTCAACGGGATGTTTGCTTCAGGTGAGATCGCTGAAAACTCAACTGATGGTGAAGCAGAGGAAGAAATAAAGAGTGAAACAACACGCAGCACGAAGTACCGGCTGGTGGGAATCTTGGTCCACAGTGGACAAGCTAGTGGTGGACATTATTACTCTTATGTCTTGCAGAGGTAGAACTCATTTTACAACCTGTATGCTGTTAAGCTTTCAGTTGCTTTCGTCTTTTTTGCTGCTAGAGAGGTTTTTAGGTACACGATTTAATCAGGATTTGTAAAACAGACGAGAGTGAAATACCAGCAAGTGATACAGAACGATGAAATTAGAAGGCTTTGCTGCGTGATTAAGGTCTCCTTAAGCGTGTATAGTCATTGTACTTTCTGTATATAGAGAAGTTTTCCAATGGCTTTTGCGTTGAAATTACCGAAAATGCTGAAGACTTCTTGAACGTAAAGTAAGATTTCATTGATAGTTAAGAGCCTAGGACAAAGGAAAAGAATCTGAGTCCCCTACACGAAATCGAAAACCAGACTTTTAGAATCAGTACTCCGACCACTAAGCTCTCGAGAACTCTGTGGTGAGCCAAGCTATTACTAGCTTCATATGTGACATGCGCTATGTACTAGAATCAGCAGTTGGCGAAAAGAATTTCTCCATTATGTTTGAGGTCTCTGTTTTTTTTTTCGTTCTTGGTAAAATACCAATATTGAAATATTGTGCGATTATTTGGCAGGTACATCTCAATGTTAAGTGTGTGTTTGGTTAGATCTAGAAAAATCCTGTTTGTTTCTAGCATCGGCTAATTCTGTAGTTGCTTTTTTGTTTCCAGAGTTTCTCCAGATAACGTTCCGAAATGGTACAAGTTTGACGATGGCGAGGTCTCAGAATGCAAAATGGATGATGAGGAGGTGCAGGCTCTCGTTACTTTGTGAAATAATATTTTGGTGAATAGGATAAAGGTGTGGCTCGTACATGTGCGAGCAATCATCAATGTGACTTTCGCGAACATTTCAAATTCAAATAATGAAACTGAATGATACATGTTTTTTAACTGATAGGAACTGAAGACTCAGTGCTTTGGAGGTGATTACATGGGTGAAGTGTTTGATCACATGTTAAAAAGGTGCGCAAAATCGCTGGGTTCTTACACTCGTGTTATTCTTGTTACGGTTCAGTCAAAGTCACTTACTCATTTTGTTTGCTAGGATGTCATACAGAAGGCAAAAGAGATGGTGGAATGCATACATCTTGTTTTATGAACGCCTTGATGTCATGGATATAAGCAGAACTGTCGATGTTGACAGAAGTGAGTACTGATTTCATAAAAACTGAAAACGATATATACATTAGCTTTGGGACGTGATCTTCTTCAGGTAGAATATGATTGTCACCCGAAATCCTCTCTTGTGCAAGGTACGCAACACTTCAAGGAAATCTCCCGTGACATAATTTTACCTTTGTTTTCATTCCGTGCGTATCTGTTGATATGTTGCTATAAGCGTCCTTGTCCTTTATCATGGTATGTTGAAATGAAACAGCATACCCAAGAACTTTCATATTTTAAAAAGAGACGTGTTTGTTTGATTATTTCACTTAATTGCTCTGTGTCTTAGATTGTTGGATGCCACCAGCAATAAAGAGAGCAGTTCGTAAACAGAACGTGCACTTCCTTCACAACCGAATCCAGTACAGCAGTGAATATTTCCAGTTCATGAAGAAGCTGGTAACCGCTAATGCTGCTCTGGAAAATTCGGTGAGTACGTTGAACGTCAGCATTGTATCTTGCCTCAGCACTAGCTAACGAAAGTGTTACACTAGGCGATAACTCTACACAATACTACTGTTACACGTTCAAACCTGTACAAGTCTCGTACTTGTGAAAATAGGACTCAACGATTCAACTAGCGGTTGTTAAATTAAATGAAGCGTGTAATTTAGTCACAAGAGCCGAACTTTAGGACGCTGAAGGCTGAAAAAAAAATGAAAATAAAAAGATTAGATAAATGAAAAACCCAGGTTACCGCCGCGACAAGTTCCCTGCTGGGAAATGGACACAAGAAAGAAAAACTTTGTAATATATGTACTTTTTCGTTCTATAGGCGGAAATGGAGCCTTTAGCAATGACCAGCATTCAGTTGGTTTCCAAGTTCCTTTTCACCACTGGCTTCCGAACCAAGAAAACCATCAGGTCATTACTGAATTGTCAACATTATATACCACCTGGTTTCCTTCACTTTTAGCGTCGTTTTCATTGTGTATCTTTACCTCTGTAGTGAATACTCGATATCACGATAACATAGATATTAAACACTTTGACACAACGAGTGGCGCAACTCAATAACGCTTACTGTGTATGAAACCTGCTCTGACTGAATGAACGCAATCTTTAATGATATGATTTACTGAATGGAATGAGGAGTTAATTGTTGTTCGTTTGAACCTGTCGCAGAGGTCCAGCGGGTGAATGGTACGATGCTGTGTGTGTCTTACTCAGACAGAGTAAGGCTGTCCGGGAGTGGTTCGCCAAGTTTGTGTTGTTCTCTCACCCTGATCGCTTTTCAGAATATTTATTGGAGTGCCCCAGTGGAGAGGTAAGATATTATTTTCCTTCTATACAATTTGGTTTGATTTATTTCATTTCGTGCACGGGGACAGAATGTTCGTGTTTCATTGTTCCGGTGTCCATTTCTTTGTGTTTTGTAGGTACGAAGTGCCTTTGCTAAGATTTTGGTGTTTTTAGCTCACTTCTCTCGTCAGGACGGTCCGTGCTATCCGTACCCGGACGACAATAAACAGGAATCAGGTTTGTTATAATTACAAAAAGCGTGTTTGAGTCACATGGTTAATAGTGGAAATGTGATGTTATGTTTTATTTTTATATTACAACACAATACGCATGCCTGAGGCTGCTTGAGGTTGGGTTTTTCGATAAATGGTGATAACTACTGCAGTGCCTATTCTCATCACACCGTAATCCTCATAAGGGATTTGCTGCAAATTCGCTTATATCGTGCGATAACTGTTTTATGCAATATTGCGCCACAACGAACGTTTAGTGATGTTTTGAGTTTATTTAGTGTATTCGCTACCAACTGTCGCTCCGTTGAAAGGCGTTAGCTCTTCAAAAAAATTCAATGGATTTGCGTAAAGATACATGTAAAATGCTTTTTTTCGTTGTCGTGCCGTTCTGTAGATCTTGACAACAAAGCGACCTTGAGTGACCATATCCTAAGTGCTGTTCTTGGATTACTGAAGAAAGAGGTTCCGGAGCACGGCCGTCACTTACAACAATACTTTCACTTCTTTCTCATGTACTCCACTATTGGCCCACCCGAGGTATGAAACAGTATCATAGATGTCGTGCTATGAATGAGATCAAAAGTGGTCCCATCTAGCAAAATACATCAAGCAAGAAGTTTTCATTGTTCTGCTAATCCAGAGAATGTCTGCTTTGTGGTAATAATGATTTTGGGCTATTTCTGTGAGCGATACTAGTACGAATGTGCAAAGCTTAAAATGACTCTTATGCTGACTTAAACAGACTATTTTAGCAGACCAAGTTTTAATTTTGTTGTTATCATTGTTATCATTATCATTATTATTATAATCATTAATTTTTAGCATTTTAATTATCCTGTCTTCGTATTCACAAGTAACTTTTATTTTCTTTCTTCTTGACAGAGACTTCAACTCTTACAACTTGGTGTTCCGGCAACTTTCATGTTGGTGGCATTGGACGAGGGTCCAGGCCCTCCCATTCGTTACCAGTATGCTGAACTGGGAAAACTTTACTCGGTTGTGTCTCAGTTAGTTCGCTGCTGTGACGTTTCGGCCAGAATGCGCTCTTCTGTACCGGTGAGGAATCCTGTAACTTGCAAGAATTGTATAATTAGGATTCTCCTCGCATCATATGTGCTACTGAATGACCGAATGTAAAAAAAGTTTGTAATTCAGCCTTGAAATAAAAAAGGCAACAACGAGCGAAAATAAAAGTGTTTTATGTAGCGGCAGATGAGGATTTCCAAGAATTTTTGTCGTTGGAATCTTATCGCTAACACTGAAGTTGTCGTTGGTATTTTCAGAACACGCAGCCAAGAGCGAATCCGTTTGATGAAGGGCATCCAGTAATGGAGATTCAGCCTGTTGTGGCAGACATTCTGTTCACCAAGGCCACGTTAGTGTGTTGTTGGTGTTATTACTGCTATTATTGTTGTTGTTGTTTTTATTTTTCTCTCTCTTTTTATCACGACTTTTTTAATTGACCCACAGATACTTAAAGAAAGTGATTGAAGACAGCACAACTTCAGAAGACACTCTGAAACTGTTAAGAGTAAGTACATGACAGCCTTCCCTACTTGTTTTGATAACTTATAGCTCTTTAAACAGACTTCAACTATTTGGTCAACAAGATAATTTGGATTTTATCAACTGAGTTGTTAATGTAAATTGGCCACTGTAAAGAGTTTTAAAGTTGACGTTTCGACGTTTGCCCTTCGTTAGATCGAAAGATAAAGGGCTAACGCTTGTAACATCAGCTTTGAAACTCTTTACATAAGTGCTTTACTTAAGTGTAGTTACCGGAGAGAATTGCATCCAGGCCTGCATCAAAACCTTTGTTATCTAATCCAGCACCTGTGATTATTTTCAGTTTTGCTGTTGGGAAAATCCACAGTTCTCACGGATAGTACTGAGCGAACTTCTCTGGCAGGTAAGTGTGGTATCCTTGTGTATTCGTTGATATACTTATATTTTTTGTCGTAAGTTAACCCTTTTGCTTTTGTCCTCTTTTTGAATTTTTTTCTTTAATTAGTTTCTTGGTGTTACGGATAAATTTCTATCATCAATCGAGGTTAAAAGAAAAATAGGAAAAAAGACGCTGAACGATGCCAGAACCTGAACAAAACAGCTAACAAAGTGTAGCTTCTATTCCATTAAGAAGCGCTATCCGCCCTATCTTTTCATCTTTTTACTCATCTTTGTACTATCTTTTTACTTATCCCTTGTTCTAAGGTGGCATTTTCGTACACATATGAGCTGCGACCATACCTAGACTTGCTTCTGCAAATGATGCTTATAACAGACTCCTGGCAGAGTCACAGAATTCATAACACTCTTAAAGGTAACAACAGTGGTTGATTTACACATGTTGCTCTTTGTTTAACAAAGCCATTTCGTAATTTCGGTGCATTACCAGATTAACTTCTACATTCATGCGAGAACCCCCATAGTAACATTTGTTCGTGTGAACTTTTTTTAAATCGCCGATTCCGTCTTTCCCGAGAACGTCAATCACGCGTGAGGCCATCTCGAAGTTCAGTGTCAAATGAGTGCTTTTCAGATTTAGAAAGGAAAGTAGTAACGGCTCAGACGAACAAAACATTTTAAACACAACAAGTTTTCTTAGTGAAACGGATTCCCTCTTCTTTTGGATTTGAATGCTGATATATTTGTTTGTCCAGGAATTCCAGACGACAAAGAAGGTTTATTTGACACAATTCAGCGCTCGAAGAATCATTATCAGAAGAGAGCGTATCAATGCATCAAGTTCATGGTCACACTCTTTTGCAGGTCAGTAAGTAATTGTTGGAACATAACATTCAAACATCTGGTTACCAAGAAAGAAACCCAAAAAAATTGGCCACGGCCGTTGCAACAGTTCCTTCGGGCTCTGATTCTGTCCACTATTGTGGGGCAAACACCCATGTATGTTATTAACCCTTGAGAGTGATTAGTAACTAATATCTCCCATCAGCATCACCCGTAAAACAAACATTCATCATCCACTAAGGGGTTCTTGGTTTTAAACCAAATACTCCTTGTTAGTATCATAGGAAATGTATGGAAAAAATTATGGAGAAAATGTACACTGATGTTAGGGTGTAAAGGGTTGATTAGATACAAAGCTTTTAATCGCTTCCTTTGTATTTGTTTCCTCAGCTGTCCCCTCGCGCACCAGATTCTCATGACGGCACAGGACCTCCGCCGGAAGTGGACATGGGCAGTAGAGTGGCTTAATGACGAACTGGAGAGGGTTAGTTCTCTCCCACATTGGTTTCCTTCTTTTACGTTGTATCATAATGAAATATTTATTACTGAAGTATTTAATTCCATTTTAGGACTACATTTTAGTTTCTACATTCTAGACGAGTCTTTCACGAGACATTCTTTCATATTTCGAGAAAACGTAATTTTACTTAGGAAAACGTTTCGCTCGTAGCTTCTCTATCATTTTAGCTACCAATTGTTTATTGAAAACTGCTCCGTGTATCGGCTGCATTTTTCGAATTATTGTTCATGCTATGATTGTAATCATAACAATTACTATTTCTTTATTACTTTGTTTCATCCGGACATTTCTAGCTGTTGTTTGTACAATAAAACTTGCTACAAAACTGTCAATGCTCGCGATTGCTGCGCAGACAACATTGAATTCTGACCCGTCGTTGTATTTTAATTACTTTCCAGAGACCGTACACCGGAGGCACGTCTTACACGTACAACAACTGGTCACCACCGGCGCAGTCCAATGAGACTTCCAATGGGTACGTCGCCGCCTGCCTTCTTTGTTTTTATTTACTTTATAAGACATTGCCAAGTTGAGCATAAGTCAGTTCAAGAGTTTGAATGAAACTGCAAGAAATATAGGAAATTTGCGTTTCTATACAATTTTCCAAAATTACGTGCTTTTTGTTTGAAATTAATTGTTTTTTTATATTATTAATTTTTGAAAAAAAATTAATCCAGGTACTTCCTTGAACGATCACACAGTGCACGACTCACACTCGCCAAGGCCTGCGAACTGTGTCCAGAAGAGGTAAAGTGTTCTGTTTGTTTATTTTATATCTTTGAACACAACATCAGAATATTCACCCTTATTGTCTCTGTACTTTCTCAGGACCAAGAAGAGCCCGAGGGGGATGTAGAAGGGGAAAATGGGACCTCTGCAGACGAGGCTTCCCCAAATGCTGAGCGCTCGAGTCCCCGACGGAATTCTGAAGACCAGTCTTCTCCGATCACTGAACAGATTCCACCCTTAGACAATAGTGATACTGTTGATAATGAATCCACGACCAAGCTGCTAAATGAGGAGTCCGACTGAGCACTAAGTGTGGTAGAGCCTAATGGATATTTCTGTGAACTGCAGTAGCCATCACTGGGCTGTTGTCTACCGGTTGGTATCTCCATGGCAACTAGCAAGCCACGATTGCGTGGATACAGTGGCATTTGTCACACTCTGACCCAATCCTATCACGGACAAGAGACACCGCGTCCGTACTTGGACGTATTTACTTTGATTGTTACAATACCTTGGAGTCGAAGTGGAAAATGCTAATTTATTTTTTTATTTAATGTAGAGGGCCGTTTACTTTGACATAACGACTCAGTTTTGTAGTATTTTCAGATGGTGTTTATATGCGATGCTCGATTGTGGTGTAGTTTCAATCCGTTGTCTTTGTGTAGCCCTCTCTCTTTCAGTCTGACGGGGATAGAATAATCACAAGCCCGATCAGCATCCGTTTGTCAAGAATTCTCTGTGTTCTGTAAAAATTTTAAGAGAAAAAAAATGGAATAATTCTAGAGCCTATAAAAAGTACCAAATAGAAGTATTGTCACCTGTTCATTTCTTGTGGTCTATTTCTTGAGTGAGAGGAATAGCGAAGTAGGTTGATGGGAAAGGTTTTGGTAGGTTGTATTTTGACTGAAGGAGCTCTAGTTCCCACCGTGGTGGCGATTTGCGGTTGGGTACCAAAACTAATGCCCTTTTAATTTTGAAGGCTCTCAGCTTTTTTAAACACTCGAACCTCACCAGATAGCGAACAGTGACGTAACTAAACAGGTGTCTCGGTTCCATTCAGCACCCAGGGAATAGCTCCTCCAATGGACTTTAATGGAAAATGCCTTGCATGTGTTTTTTTTGGTTGTTTGTTTCCGTGTTCTATTACTTTTCTCGCCGTCCGTGTCCTCCAGATTCTCGTTAAGAGTCGTGTTTGTTAAACCTACAGGGTACATAAAAGTACTTGCATGCAAAATGCGATCTTTACTAGCTAGATCCACGACAATAGGGAGGTAAAGGTTTAATAGAAAGCAGTCTATTATGATTTTTTTACACCTGGTGGACATCACATATGTCATATGCACACTTTTGATGAGACTGAAATTTACGCTTCTCATTGTTAGGCATGATAAGGTTTGTGCATGGTGTCTTGTGCAAGATATGTTGTGCAAGATGGGTGCATTGATGGTCTGGCGAGCTCGTAACATTAAACTTCGTGGGATTTTCGCTTCATTCTCGTTCTTTTTTTTTTCAATTTTGATCAAGAATTTTTTTGGCAAATGATACAATCTGGTTCTCAAACTTGATTAGTTCTCGAGTGTGGTTTTCCGAAAACAGCAAGCTTTAAACCCTATGTCGCAGATTTCAGAAATGTTAACTTACCCAAAAGTCTCTAGAAGAGGGTGCAGAGGAATCTCAGCTTCGGCCGAATATCTACAACGCACCGCGAAATGTCTTTGCTATTCGAGATCTCAGCACGTGTTCTACGGAGGAAATTTGCACCCTCTGCGTAACGCAGCTCAGGATCGGGTACGACGTCTACTTTACAACCAGAAAACATCGATCTCGGTGGACTGATCAGCACCACGTAAACAATACAAAGAATAAGCCCCATGTTTTTATGTATTAGCTGTCCCAATCCTAAAGAGATTAAGTGTTAAAGAGCTTTAATTTCCATATTAGAGAACAAAGGTCAGTTGGGAATTCAGTACAGCGAAATTTGTGGTCGTGTCGATCAGCTGACTTCCTTCCCTTGTATAGTTTGTGTGCTTCTTTATTTTAATTGCAACATCGTACGATGAGAAACTTCATGCCTCGAGCCGCCCGTATGACACTTCAGAAAACGTGCCAGAATGTTTACACGGAAGTGACGCCGTGTTTTGAAGCCTGAGTCGAGTCACGTACTTGTACTGTTGCTGGATAGGACATACACAAAGCTATTGTCTTAGCTTTAAATCATAATTTATCAACCTTCGCTGAAGGATGTTGGAGCATGCAATCAGAATGAAAGAGCGAGTTGGATCAGCGAACAAGCTTCGGAATTATGATACGGACGGCTACATAAAGCGGGCCGGCTGCATATGCTTCAGAACAAACCATGCAAAGGAAGTAAGTGATTTTGTATTACAACTTCTTCACTAACTCAATTAGTGGTACCTCATCCTACCGATGCGAAATAAAGTGGATGTATCTAAAAACATCATGATCTTGACAACAGCTCTACATTCTTCGGAACAGAGGTCATTCTCTCCTTAAATGGAGTTGAAAGGCCCAAAAGGGTAAAACCGCTAGAGATGGAGAACACATCATTGACATGTTAATTTTCCTAGAGTTATTGCGACATCTTGTAGAGTGCAAATGCTGTAAAACCATTCTTGCTGTTCATGGATTGTGAGCAAGATGATCGGAATTGAGCGTTGGAAGCAATCTCTTCCTTTGTATTACGTTCAACTCTGTACGTAGGGCATTGTTAGAACATTCGATCATGCCCAATATATTTGTTTACAGCCAGCAAAATGTTTGTTTTCAACTATTTTAATCAACTTTGATAACTAACTCAAAGCGGTGCCCGATGGTCTGCTTAACTTAAGGCAAACAAGTTCTTTCATCACAAAAATCAGCGCAAACGAATCGAAATAATATGTTCTGATGATGATAACAATGTTCTTCAATATGATCGGGTTGAAATAGCAATCCTTCGTTTGACAGATGCCATGCTGAAGCGTGTAGCTTCCTAATCTTGCTCTGCTGAGCACGGTCACAGTTTTGTTAAAGGGCAGCTGCATTGTATACAGGCTCTATAATATTAAAGAGTAATTTTTACTAATCGAATTTGCTCTCTCGGTTTTTTTTTTGTTTTTTTTTTGGGGGGGGTCAAAGTTTTTGACTTGAATAGTTGAACTTTTAGCGATTACATGACAGTCTTAGTCACGTGTATTGCTACTCTCTCCCTGCCACTCTTGGTGTTTCCAATGGACCTGTGGAAGAGGGCAGGCTTTGTCTTATCTCTCAGTAGCCACTACAATGATTGGTCAATTTACGAATAGATAGTGTAAAGCTGTTTTTGTTGCCAAGATTGTTGTTATTCTTCATCGATAGAAGGCACTTTGAGATCTTTTGTCTACCCTAACTTCTGTGCTGAGCGTGCAGACGACCGATTAGTGCGATTCTCACCGTCGAATTTTTCGTTGTGTCAGTCATTTGAAGCCTTTCCACGTGGCTAAAAAGCTCGTTCTCCGAAACCTAAAGACGCACAGGAGAAGTTAAATGGGTTTCTTGGTTACTCTACCGTCTCTGTCCTTACTGATGAAATTACGGATCTCAGTTTTTTCCCAGTTTTATTTATGGAAATCAGCACGGTCCCCAGACTCCCCATATGGCCTGTAAAAATTATCTTCACCACAAAATCGTAGTTCAGTAAAAAAAAATTGAAAAACAAATCCAACCATAAAGAAGGAAGGAAGGTCGTTAGAGATTTAGGAGATTGCTATTGATTGGAACTAGAATAGTTCTGGCTTAATTAGGCCTATAAAAAGTTGCTGGGAAAAAAAGAATTTCACAAGATACACAAACCATAGACTTTATGTAGTACTAAGAATTACTGCGTTTGATCAGTTCCTCCTCAATGGGGTTTGAATGTTCGCTCTTAGGCATCGTTCTGTGCACACGCCTTCATCTTTGTCATTAACCATTGACCTGACGTGCACGTTTTGTTTTGAACAGGTTCTGTTGGTAACAAGCAACAGGTATCCAGATAAGTGGATAGTGCCAGCGGGAGGAGTAGAAGCTGGAGAAAGATTCCAAGATGCAGCTGTTCGAGAGGTTTTTGAGGAAGTGAGTCGATTGTGTTAATGGTCCACTATTAACCGATCCAGGAATTTTTTTGCGGCTGTGCGCACTTATTGATATTTGCAAGGATAAAAAACTGCAATTTATCGATTGTTTATTCATGATCTTACTGACGTCCAAACAGCCTGTGGTGGAAATTGGCCTTCTACATTGCAGAAGTCTTGATTTGGCTATCTAGTATTGCGTGCGGTTTTGTATCTTAAACGTTCGCCTCGCGTTTGGTTCGAAGAGACCTTCTCCATAGGGATCAGATAAATTATCATTTATTATTACGTGTAGCATAAATAGTACTCTTTCTTTATTCCCTAAACGGGCAGTGTAACTTACTTTTCATTTCAGGCTGGAGTGCGTGGAAATATTATGCATTGTCTTGGAGTGTTTCAGGTATTTGAACTTCTGTAGACTCTTTACAGGTTATATTCTCTTTAAGTTAGTTTCCGTGATACCCTCTTTCCAAATTTGGTTAGAAAAGAAAAGTGGCACTTAGTATGTCACTCTTGTTTTTTGAAATCTGTCACTAAATAGTGCAAAGGTTAAATGGCTGTTCTTTGCTGCAAAAGGTAACGAGACAAAACTTTGCCAGATGTCAGTTTGACATGATAGAATCAAGCATGACGTGCTAATTCCCTCAATCATCCGATGGGATGCGCACGTTTTCACTTCGTCGCGGAAATGGGAAATCAGATTTTGTCACGAAAACATACCACTTTTAAGCATTGCTATTTTGTGCTCATTGTCCACCAAAAATTGTTGTTCTAAACTGTCTGATTTACTGCAAATTTCTATATCCTGACACTAGAATGAAACAAGCAAGACAAGAACAAAGATGTATGTTCTGCATGTAACAGAAGAGTGTGATTACTGGGATGACGCCGCAAAAGGTATCTCTTGTTACGTTCTGACGTGGATCTGCTGGAAACGTGCCGTATAGGAAAACTATGGGGAAGAGCCATTTACCAATGACACATCACGAAACCTCAAATGCCCAAAAAAATTTGGAGATCTTTCTGAGAAGAATATCTTATCTAGTTTGATTTTCAATCTGGTACTGTTTCTTCTTAATCAGAATGAAAAGTACTTGTCAATAAGTGAGTTACGTCGAGGCATTAAAAAGCAACCTATATCAGAAAATAGGTTTTGGTTAGTCATCGTGGTAGATAACCCTTTCAAAAGAGAAATGTAATCGATTGTCTCACGATGTGAGATGCTTTGGATGTGGACGCGACGTTTCGACTGCATACTGTTAGTACGCGTCACCTATATGCTGTAGTACTTAGCTGTATTGTTCAACCTGTTGTCTGAAATTAATTATGCTTTGTTTTTCGCGTATTTCAGGGCGAAGGAGAGGTTGGTTTTCAATACGCAAGGCATGGGAACTACTCTCTCACAGACCTTGTCAACAGTTGTACCTGCGTGATGTTATGAAGATCGATGAACAAAATCAGTGGCTCTATGACTCACCGATCCGGTTCTCTACGCCACTCGTCATTAACGAATCACGAAACAACCAATCAAACGCTGAAGTTTCGCCGTAGCATGTAAAGTAAAAACCTTTAAAAATACTCTTTTGGTAATGATCATCACTGTCCTAGGCGTGACAAGAGTTATTTGGAATCAATCACTGGACTGGATGTAATTTAGTCGCGAACGGTTGCAAAAGAATTGTGAATACTTTCATCATTCAGTGAGGATCGCTGGGAGGTCTTACACTAATTTGGGTGTGATTTTACTCACAAGCGGTCGAGAAATTATTGTATATAGTTTGTTTCATCAATACTCTGAACAGATCCTAAATTACTCTGAATCAATCATAAATTATTGTCGGGTATAACGATTGAAGGCAAAGGCGGAAGAATTTTGTGCATAAGCCGTTACATTCCTTAATAAACTTTAGGAATCTTCACTTTGTTTCCTTGTTATTCACTCGTTTTAAAAATAAGAGGTTCCTTCCGAAAACATCCGAATAATCCAAGATCACTAGTGTTTTCTTCAAAGATGGAAATATTAAACATACCTCAGATTTAGGAACTAATTTAGCAACGTACATGCGCACTGAATCGATTAATTTTAGGCGCTAAGTCAAGCAGATATCCTTTTCAAACTCCGTTGGATACGAATTGTGGGGATAACTAAATGACAAACAATTGATCACCTTCAGGGAGGAAGAAGCAGATTTAGGCTGCAAATGACAACTAGTGGTAGAGAATAGTCGAGTTCCGAGGCTCATAAGCTTGGTCGCGCAAACGCATCAAACATACTGGATACAGGGAAGCTGAAAACGGCATTTCTTCAGAAACTCAAAGGTGTATTTTGGTTGTGCATGCAGTTTCCTCTATCAACTTTTTTTGTTGTTGTAACTAGACTTCTCGCGGCCTATAGCCGGTACTGATGAGTAGGATCTGGGGGAAGAAATGCGTTCGATGTTATTCTGAAGCAGATCGACTGATTCCCCTCCCCCATTTTTCCAGTTTTGAAATTTTATTATTTCTATTCTTATAAATATAGTCCAAATAGCGCGACAGAATTGTGTTGTATAAACTGGTATCGAAGAAGTCGTTAATCACTGCTAACTGTAGAAGTATTCCAGGGTGGTGTTCAATTGCACAGCATAACGTATGATTTAGAATGACCAACTTGACTAAGCTTGGCTTTTGCTCAGGGCGAGGAAAGTTCGTGATATGTCGGAGTCGCTTTAGTCCGTTTTTCTCACAGAGCAATCCACAGCGACGGTGGAAAGTGAGAATAAACTTCTGGGAAAGAGTGTACTGTAAAAGTTACTGTGTAGAAACCTACTGCGGTCTGTCATTTCAAGCTCGGAAATGTAATAGGTGAGATCTATCCTAAGTAACCTTTACTTTTCCGTTACTTTAAACCTGTTTAGGTTAATTTACAATCGTCATAGCTTTCCCGTAATAATTTAAGTTAATTTACAATCTTTTTTCTCTTATGCGGCATTTCCTCCGATAGTTAAATACTAAAAAGGTAACTTAACTGACTTTTCAAAATTTAATTGTTATTTATAAAAAAACGAAATTTTCCGGCTCATACGTGGTTGCTTAGATGTACCTAAATGTCTTTATCAGATTTGTTAACTGTGTCTTTCAACATATCCTCGATCCACTTGCGAAACACGCTGACCCGAGTGAACACCGTGTAATGGTTACTCGATGAACAATCCGGGTCACCCCAGCTTACAATACCCTGCACTACCCACTGGCCAGCGGTATTCTTGCATTGAAATGGTCCACCGCTGTCCCCAAAGCAGCCGCTTGTCTTAGTGTGCCCTGCATCTCCTGCGCAGATCATTTTGCTTGTCACTATCCAGGTTCGGTTATCAGTATGAAGCCCACCATTCGGTGAGGTATCCAGTTTTGCTGCACATGCTCCGTTAGAGACAACAGGCATTCGCGCCTGTTGTAGGATCGTAGCTGAATCGCCTTTACCAAACATCTGTCCCCAACCTACAGACATAACAGCTCAAGCGTTTAACTAATTAGAAAAGATAAGAGCCACAATATAATTAATCCCCCAGCAGAATCCATGAGAGAAAGCAATCGAACAACTTTCGAAAGTTTGGAAATTGGAATAGGACCTCATTCCTTCAAGCTGATAACATTAGTGAACTTATTTCAAATGTAATTTTGGTTTTATTAACTGAGTTGATAATGCAAATTGGCCACCGTGAAGAGTTTCAAAGCTAAGCTTTGAAACTCTTCACGGTGCTAATCCACATTATCAACTCAGATGTTGATACCAAAATCATCTTGCTAAACTTCCCCACCGACGCAGCACCACAGTTTCTTCAGAAACTTTTCCCCCCTAATTTCAAATGTGCCGACGAGAAGGAAGCTTCTCCTTGTTATAATTTTTTGAACACGGAAAAAGGTTTGAATATATGTTATTGCTTTGTTGAGACGAAGATTAAACCTGTGTTAGAAAATCAGAGGTAACTATTAGATTATACCTGTTATGTAACATTCCTTCCCAAGCGGCACTTCTTCAAGAAATTCTGGTAAACAAGCTGTATTCACTAAATCGCCGCGAGAAGCTTGGTGCGAAAGCTGAAAGAGGGCGATATCGTTCTCGTATGGAACTGGGTGTGAGAATAGACGATGTTTGATGATACGTTTCACCTCAAATTCTTGTTCTGAGCCTTCATTCTTCTTACGATCGATATCCCCAAGGATCACCTTAAACTTGCTGGGATCATCATTAAGTACGCAATGAGCAGCGGTCATAACCCACTCTGCCATAATCAGTGACCCTCCACATATATGGTGATGGTTGAATTCCAAGCGGGCCTGCCATGGCCATTCTCCAAGAGTAGCGTCATCGCCATTGATGACTCGTGAAGAAGAACCTGAATTGCGGCCACAACTGTCACGACCTACATGTGAATAACAACGATGGAAGGTTTGTACTTAAGAATAATCAAGTACATCATGATATTTTACGAGGAGGTTTTTTTTTGTCCAATGTAAAAAATGTCTAATTTTTGATGGTATTTTGAAATAAAACTTACACTTCAGAAAAGTACGAAATAAATGAAGAGGTTAGTCAAGGATTAAGGTGAAACACACTTGAAAAAAATCATGCTTCATACAGAAGGCACGACGTAGTCGTTTTAAGACATAACAATTTGTAGTGTACTGAAAGGACATTCGTTTTAGGGTAAGAAGTTATTCATCCCAAAACTTCCTTCGGATTCGATTCGTTACTTATGCACAGTTTGAGAGAACATAGCGTGACGTTTCACCTTCGTCGAAGTATGGTGCGTGTGGATTGATTTCTCGGATAGGACCATGATGAGGTGGCATCTTAAAGGTCTTTTGTCCTCCACTGTCTCCTCGTTTTTGCTCTGTAAGAAAGAAATACATCTGCTCAGCTTATTTTTTCAGAGTTGTGTTGAGCTATAGAGAGGCCGGTTTACTAACAAAGATTCTCTATGCTAATCAGCCAACTTGTGATGCCTATGATGTCAACTTATAATGTAAGAACGTAGAGACGAAGAAGCGATTCTTTCTTTGATTGAATGGAATTACTTACTTAAAGGCCGGGAACGTTTCGGTGTAGAACTAGGTGAAACTCGTGGCGAGAAGTCGTTGAAAATGCTAAGTTTCGATTCTAACCCTTTGACCAATAAGGTTGTCTAACATCTTATTTTCCCCTACAATATCACTCTTGAATCACACAGTAAAGTCACGAGAAGGAAGAAATGATCACCGACTGAAGAAGCTATTGATTGTTAAACAAATTCTCCTTGTCAGCCCCTTATGAAATATATAGAGAACAGCATGGAGAATAAGCATGCTGATGTTAGGGTAAAGAGGGTTAATCCAATTTTTCTGGAGCATTTAGTTTGCCTTTTCCAATTGTTACAAGGACAAAGGGAGAGCTCAAACCCGATTTACTAATTTCAACGTTAATAACTGGAAGGTATGCATGACCGTCGGTTTCCGTTCACCTTGCTTAAGGTGAAGGTCCCTGATAGGACCAACAGGAGGTGGCATCTTATGACTATTTGTTCCTCCCTTGACTCTTCGTTGTTGCTCTGAAAGAGAGAGTAAATAAACTAATGAAAGAGCCGATGTGAGCTTTTGACCTCGCAATACCTTTGCGCTTGTCTACTGAACGGAATAAGGTCAGTGATAGGTTTCATGCAGGGCTTGATGGCTTCTTCGTGTTAAGTTTCAATAACATACGAACGTTTTCCCAAATCCACGTTCTTTCTACTGCGCAAATGTATCATGTTTTAACATACACATGATTGACGTTAGCGCGCTACGACAATGTTTGTGGAGAGTGGAAGTTCGCCTTCATGACTCCGGCTAAGGTGTCATCAGAAGTTTCTAAGAAACTGTGGTGCTGCGTCGGTGGGAGAGTATAACAAAGTAATACGGTATTATCACATAAGTTGATAACGTAAAGAGGCCACCGTTAAGAGTGAATCAAAGGTATAAGGTGTCACTAGCTTTGTGTTGCCTCATGGGTCAGTTGGTAAACAACGCCGAGTTCTTGTTGACGTCACGGCTTCCGGGTTTGAATGTCTCGAAAAACCTTAAAAATCTCTCATTTTAGGCTTTTACGGCTTATGCCTTGAATTCATTTAAGTTATTACGCAAAACTGGTCTTGCTCTGAGCATGGTTTTTAACGTAGTTCAATTTGTTCCCAAATAATGAGAACACGTTCTCTTGATCAATATGAGACAGTGTGGTCAGATGTTACTCTAGGGAACAGGGGTTCTATAAAAAAGCACAAAATTTTCCGTACCGATTAACACTGGTATTCAGAATTTCTGGTTGTTAAAATCAGTAATTAAAAATAGTCGATTTCAATAAGCAAAGGTGAATCTTGCTGTGAGTACATTTCATATCCATTGTAGCCATATTTAACAGATCCGACTCAATGAAAACAAAACATCATTGGTATAAAGACGACAGAAGTAACGATCAGACTCCTCGTACACTTCTCTCCAACACGACTTACCCTGCTTCAAATGAAGTTCATCTAGTTCTATATCCGTTGTAAAGAAGGCCGGTTCCTCTAGAGGAGGCTTCAGATGTCCACGGCTAATTATGTGATGCCGACCTGGTCACAAAAACAACAAGAGAAAAACCAAAATAACGCCGTATATTAGCCGCTGATGGATCTTATCTCCTCTTCGCTTGATTGCAACAGTTCGCTTCCAACTCACTTAATTCACATACAATAGTAGAAACTGAAAAATCAATACAGCCCTTCACGTTTTTAAAATAAATAAAAAGCGCACAAACAAGACTTTGATCGTGATTCTCCGTTTAAGAAAGTGGTATCTGAATAAAAAGAATGACTCCCCTTCCAGATTCATACAAAAAATATATACTCTTTTTGTAAAACAAAATGCGACGTAGAAGTTCACAACATTAAGCTGCACGACTACTGTTTTGATGTGATTGCTAATAGATCAGAAATTACCATTGCAGGTGATCAACAGAATCATGGAAGTCGACTTCTTTTCTCAAAACGACACGAAGTTAATAAAATGGTCTAGATATCGAAATATAGGCCTGCGGGTTATATTTTAGATGACACATCTTCATTATAAACTTGTTATGAATGCGCGATGGTTAGAATTGGAAATAAATTACATTCATAGAGTCGAAAAAGCGAAACACTGTTTTTGTATATACAATATTTAAATATCACGAGAAAATAATTAAAACGTGGACGAAATACAACAGATTAAAGGACAACTTTAACACTAGAGTTTCGCTTTTTTATAAAATGGGAACGGTGGACTCAAATCATGTTTTGAGCTGCCTTCCCGAATGTGTCTCGTGAAGAACACAGACACAAGTTTAGTAAACGTCAAGTTGAGCGTGAAGTAACTCATGCACTCGATGTTAATGATAAACAGCAGCTACCATACCTTGGTTTGAAGGCAGTAAAACCACAATAACCACAGCGATATTATAAATGTTTATCATTCTGGGTATTCTATGAAAAAACACAAGGACGAAACATAAACTCTCTTGGCTTTGATGGCTTTCGCATGAACTACTCCTGGCCCCCAGCAGAATCAAGCTTATGAATTATTGGTCAGCCAATCAATTCATTATAAGAGAGTCGCTTCTCTGCAAAAATGAAAACAGGTGGCGGAAAACTACAACTTCCTTAGGGGCTTTTTATTTGAGTTGCGAAAACGTTGTGGCTAAATTTCAGATCACGCTTTACATTTCCATCAATAGTTAATGTAAATGATATGAAAATGGACATAGAAAAATCGTATCGAAGTAACTGAGAAGTGAAATAACAAGGGAAAAAATTAAATCCTGTTTCAGTTTCTACGGCAGGTGTTTCACAGAAACTGCTTTAATATGCAAAATTCGTTCAATGATCAACAAATGACGGTTAAAGTGTGTTCGGGTTTCATTTTCCTAATATAGGTCTTCGCATAAAGAGAAGTTTAGCGAGCTTATATCAAATATAGAGGAAATAGTAAGTCGATATCAGACTGAAAAGCTTTCAACCTAAGTGCTGCCGCATTGACGACTGACGCGGTAAACATGAAAACAGGAAAATACAGACGACATGGTCCGTATTTGAAGATTCTCGGCAAAATACGTGCAGCGATTATGTATTGAGCGGGCTTGGGATAAATAGAAAAATTAACGTGAACATTGATTGTAAGTATCGATCTTTCTAGTCAGCTAAGTCTCTTAGTGCCTTAAAAAAGGCAAACAACTGAGACTTTTTAAAACTTTAATATTACACTAAATTCAAAGAGTTAGACAAATTTGGCATGCACTATTGAGTCCTTAACTCGGAAATAAACAACAGACCCCCTTTTATCGGTTTTTACGAAATACGGAAACGCTGCGGACGTGTAAGAACTAATGAACTAAGATTAAAATTATGTAACTTAGAAAAAATAGGGAAGGATGATGTTTATGAAAGATGCCGAGTTTTTCTTCTTTTTATCTGTCAGTGGTACTTTGAATTTAAGATCTCTTCATCAGAAGTTTTGAGTTTGAAAAACAAAAGGCTCCGGATGATATTTTACGACTGTAGAGTTTATCACATCCAACTCCCCTGGTCAGTAATATGTCCTATTCACTCACAGGCTGAAGCAAACAAGCACGGGACACAAGTGAAGCCACGTCTAGCATACAGAATTTCCTTTTCTCTTGCTCTTTTCAGGTAAATTGTGCCGCAGGACATTTAATGTCACTCGGATGATTAACATGATTTATATCTGGATTACTCAAAGAAATTAGTTGTTATAAAACCCCATACAATCCTCCCTTATAAACTTCGGAGGGGACTTGTAAAAGATTAAACAATATAAAAAACTTACTACAAATTAGCAAGGGGAACAGGGTGGGAAACATTCCCGTTGAATATTTCCTCAAGGATTATCAACGGGTTTTGGAAGTACGAGAGTAGGGGGACGGGAATAGTGTGAAGCCAGGGCCAATTTTCTCTTATGTCTACCTGCCAAACTTGTCACAGACCACTTCAACTTAGCGAAAATCACAAATTACAGGAAGAGTTTCTCCACCCAAAGTCGCCGACTTAAGGATCGGAGGAATAACATGTAGAAATTTAAAAAAAGACTGTTTAATTTTTTTCTTGCAATAGTCCAAAATGCTTTTAGTTCCTCAGTAGGAATGAATCAAGCTGCACTTATCAGGGACCACCGACGGTTTGCTTCGGTGCCATGGTTCGCGTATTTCAGCGGGACACAGTCGATCCAGAAAGGCCATAACGAGACCAAACGAGCCTTATGTAGCGTCTAAGCTCAAACCCTAGTTTCGGGCGACATAACTTCGGGCGGAAATATCCTCATTTTCTTAGAGAGACTGTCTTGATTTCAGCCATTTGCCAATTGACTTTGTGTATTCTTTTGGCTTTCCTCTTCTTTTATTCAAATCCCTTGCTCCTCTCCTAATCTTCTTATTTTTTTTCTGCATAAAGTCTTACTTGAGATGTCTGTGAGCTGATCATACTGAAATTAAAATTATAACTTAAAACAGTGACATAAAGTGACCTTTATAGGAACATTCTCTTTACTCTGAGGAGGGTTAGGAATATGGTGTTCTGAAGCAAATGCATGATTCGAAAACCTAGCTAAGAGAGGCTGAGTTGGCAATTCATTGTGTCCTACCGAAAACTTTTAGAAAGTCTGAAGAAAATAAAAAACAGACTTCACACGGCTCTTTTGGAAAGAACGTATTACTTTTTTTCGGAATAATTCGTTTATAATGAATTCTATCTCATAAAAGTCTTTCTGCACCAAATAAAACCCTCGTATTTGTGAGAATTTGATCCAGGAAATTATTTCCACGAGTTGGAAATTTGACGATTTTACAGGGAAATGTCGAAAAGACTGTTAAGACTGACATGGGTCTGTAGTGAGTAAATATATAACACGAGCTATCTTAAGCTCTTTGGGCACAACTCCTGAGGCTATGGATAAATTGACAATATGAGCTGAAGGATTAGAAATTATATCTATGTATTGTCTTACGACATCCATGATAAAATCGTTTAACCCAGTAGCTGTGCCAAGGCGTAGACTAGCACAGATCTTAATAATTTCTTGGCGGTAAGTGGGTAAAACACTGCATTAACTGCTATTTAGACCTGATGGAATTTGGATTTTTTTCTGCTGAAGTAAGTGCAAGGCAAGGAAAAAAACCATCAAAACCATTTGTTATTTCAACAAGATCGCTAATTTCATAATTAGTAACCTTAAATGTAGAGGTAAACTATTCTATTTAAGACGTCGGTTTATTACCTCATTGAGGATTCTCCACGTGTCTAAAGCGTTAGATTTGCAAGCATTAAGTTTATGGACGTAGTAATCACGTTTTTCTATTCTAAGTAAATGATTCAGTTTGTTTCAGAATGATTTCTATTGACATTTATGAGGAGCAAAAGGTAAGGATAGGATCGTTTTTCTAACCCATTATTTATCTAAAAAGATTTTAAGAGACCTATTTTTAACCAGGACTTCTTAAGTCTCCTCAAGACAACTTTCTTTCTTCCTGCTTTTTCAGTTTATCTGAAAAAATTGCCATAGGCTGCTGTAAACATTTACATAAACTTACCATACACTTTATCTTCAAGACGTTGCACATCATCCTTAAACACATTCCTCAGTTCAAGTAAAGGAATTTTTTCTGGCGCGCAGCTCGCCAATTTCGGAAAATATCAACAGCCCACTTAACTTTGTATTGTGTACTTCAAGGCTTCGAATGTTCGAACAAAGAAACATCCTCTTGGAAACTGTTTGGCGATCGAAACTGGAAGACTTGTCCTTAGCTTCTTTCTTCATTCATCAGAATTGCAACTGTGGAGGCCAATGCAAAGTGTGATTGCCTCTAATCAAAAATACAAAGTTGTTAAAAAAAAACACAAAGACACCATTCATCACAGGGACTAGCAATTACGTACTTGTATTGATGAAACAAAAGAAAGAAAGAAACTAAATATATGCGTGACTTTTGTTTTTGTTTTTGGGGTAAATTTTTAATAAATTAGACCCTTTTGAGAAGCTATTTCATAAAATTCGGGCTTCGTGTTTCCTCAGGGTCTCCTAACACTTAAAAACCAATCATCATCAGTTTCCTTGCGTTGAGAAACCCTGATGGAACACTTTTCCTCATTTATGATATGTTACTTCTAAATCTCTCCATATATTTAAGGTGGTTTCCCCACGATAAGTGGTCCAGGAAATTATACTATCATAACTTATTTTATCAGAAAGAAAAATAGGTAGTTGATCTGACACATCCGAAATGATACCCCGCTATAACAAAAGTAGGTTTAAAATAGCTCTATAACCGTGTTAATAAGTGTAACATTCAGAAATGAAAACTATCCCCAAAATGTACATGTTTTTACATTCAGTGGATCGAGGCTTTAGGGGGCAGTGGCAGAGAATGGAAATAATGTCCTGTTTGCATGAACACGCACGCGCTGGTATGGCGCTAATTGACTCTTTTGTTGTAGTATATATAGGGTCTGACAGTTGTAATTTATGCATCTCAGCTCTCAAGCTTTCAACTGCTCGCAAGTCCGTCCGAGTTAGTAAGTAAACCTTGCAAAAAGTTTAATAGATATCAAAGAGTAGCCAAGAGTCATACTTTCAACTTTAAAGAGAGAAATGATGACCAAAACGCAGCCATTAAGAGATTGAAGGCCTCGGCCTCATCGGTGCCAGAAATTCAAGAAAAAGGGCAACAAGAAACAGTTTGAAGTTGACACTCAAGTCCTTGACCACATTGAGACCGCTTCCTCTCTACTGAAATCCACACCACCACAAGTCGAGAAAGCCCTCGAGGAGCTTATCGCTGACTCGGCAGGGAGTTGTTGGGAAGTGGTAAGAGAATACGAAAGTAAAAGTGTCGCAGATGACAACGATAAACGTTTGAGGCGGGCAGAAGTTAGAGGTTCTCCGAAACGTCGCCGCTCACAATCTCAAGAGAAGGCTTAGGGTTTCCTTCGCAGTCGGCCGACGCCAGATCTCACCTTCTGTCCCATACTATTCATAAAGAACCAGTTTTACTGTAGCTGTTCCTTTCGCGCCCAACTGCTTGGAATCCCCAGTATCCCGACAGCTGCTCAAGAACGTATCTGAGTTCGTGGAGGATCTTTCTTCGCCTGTGGGAAGTTTGGATATTCGCGTGGTCGGTGCCCCGATGTGATTAGCCATTTTTCTGATTCATTGACGCGAGATCTCCCCTACCATGCCTTACTATTCACCAAGTGCTAGTTCTGCATGCTGTTCTTTTGGCGCCACTAACTTCGCCCCCCAAATTGTATGGAATTCCAAATGTCCCTGCAACTGGTCTCGTTCTGTTCTTGGACGATTTTGCTTCGCCTATGGGAAGGTTGGATATTTTCGGAGTCAGTGACCCGATCTGTTTAGCCATCTTTGTACATCTTTCAGCCAGCCAGCCGAACGAGCATTTGTGATGGACAGGGAATACTCTCGATCACTATTAAACACAGATAAGTTCACAGCAGCTCACAGTTCAAGCTGCACACCCATATTTGTCGTTTCTTAGTTGTGAATAGAAATAAGGAAATAGCTTTAAAATAGGGTTGAGAAGATAAAAATCACCATTAACATAGCATGAAATTCCATTACACTCAAAATTTCCTTAATCGTGGCTATGAGATAGGGTACATATGGGCAAAATAGTTGGTGATCTGGCTTACGTAATATCGGAACCGAGGAGTACTACCCTTTTTGAGACTGTGCACAGGCTACTCAACATGTCAATTCTTTGATGAATAAGACTTTCTACATTATTTTGTTTCCCTGGAAACTTTTTCAGACAAATACTCTGTTGGTTATCCGCATCCTTTACGTGATATGGCTTTCGGTTTTTAAGGAAAAATCATTTTGAACTTTAATTTTACCCTTTTGTATAAAATGAGGAAGTGAATGGGAACCATTAAGCAATCAAATATTAAGATCCTGACTCGAATTCCTGAAGCAGAAGCAGAGGAGGAGCGACTTTTCAGTATTTCCAATAACAAAAAAAAAACTTATATTTGTTTTTGTTTTAGTCATAATGGCTCTTTGCCGATCATTTTTACCCTGAAGTTAACTTATTAGGTAGCAAGGACCCCTTTGTGTAAGTTTGTCTTAGGTAACGATTTATATTGATCTTCAACGAAAGCGGCATCATATCACAGCAAGGAACACGAACAAAGCAAGGTAATGTTTCAATAAACAATCGACAACCTCCCTAATGATTGAAAGTTCCTTCAATCTTGATCAGGAAAATTTGGAATCCCTCACCTTTTGTAGAAGCTCCGGTCTGTTTTTTCATTTATCAGGGGTTGGTGGGTCTGTTTTCAAGGGAACTCAAAGAAATTGTGGTAGTGTTGATCTTTAAAAAACTGGTGTTCAAAAATAACAACACCATTTTGATCCACCTGGGTCAATTAGCTTTCGCCTTGAGTTGAAAGGGTCCTTGGGACGACCAGAGCACACTAACTCAGGAGTGACCCACTTCCTTTTTGTTCTCTTCACGGTATTCCTACTCTGTAGAAACTACCGGCCAACACCACAGAAGTCACCAACCATTTTCCGTAGGTGTCATTTACTTTCCTTCCAAGTTTCAGGCTTAAGCCCTATCAACTTCAATGCCGTGCCTCGAACACATCCGCCGGAAATAGGAATCAAACCGCACGCTACTAAAGTTAACGCTGACATATTATGGACTCAACTGGAGAGCAAAGACGCGTGAGCAGCTTGGAGAAAGTGAGCCGAACAAGAGCTGATCCCAACGAAACTTTTTGGAGACGTGTTCATTCGGCTATCCAAAGAGCAATAAATTCATCTACTTTGGCTGCTAGTATGCTGTCGCACTGAAACCCACACCAGATTTCGAAGTTGTGAAGCGGGCGCCCGACTCCTAAAGCCATTGGTAAGCTAAACAATTAGATATAAATATCGCTTTTCCTGCCTTCTCTGTTTATTGATTCGTTAGAGGAAGGAATCTTGCGTAGAATTGTATTTTTTATGTTGAAGTTTTTAATCTTAAAACAGCATAGAAAGTTTGGTTTAAAGAGTTTGTGGTGTAAATTTGACGCTCCGCCGAGTTACTCAAAGATTATTTGATCACGTGACCATATTTGAAGGATTGATAGAACGGTGGAACAGAGGAACGGCGGAACAAAGGAACGGCGGAATGACGGAATTTCCTCAAACGTTGAATGCCGGAATATCCCCTCAGGAATAAATAAAATTATTTCAGATCTTGACTTTTTGTCAGCAAGGGGTTTCCCAAAGTTACAATATAATTCAAAGTTTCCTTGAGATGATAAGAGTCTAAGTGTCAGCATAAATATCTTAGTCCCTGGCTACTGCTTGAGTCACTGTTTAAATTTACCTGATATTATTTGTGGAATGCAATCATCATGATTAACTATGGAGATGAAATTGACCCAGTTTTACCATATGATGTGAAAGAAAAATGGTTTGTTATTAGACATTAACCACATACAACTGTTACGTTCTCTAACGAGTAAGGGAGATGACACCACTCAACACAACAGAGTTTTTGATATATCTGGTGTGATCCTCCTACCGTCCGCTGCCCTTTGTAGTGGTCAGCGGCTTTGACTAGACTTCATGTTACTATAACAACTACTGACAACAATTGAAACTTCTCAATGTATATCTTATCAACAGATCAGTGATAAAGTTACATGATGTGTATATCACTGCTGTAAATTATAGGAGACACATTCAAACAAATGCATCTAGCTATAACATTGCAATGATTCCCCTTATAACAAAACTTTGTTTATTTTTCAGAGAGTCACTTCTATCTCCTGACTTCAATCTAATAATGATCCTTTTTAATGCATCTGAACCACACAGTCTACTCCATATTGGCCCTTGCTTTCAATCAAATGCCTCTGAAAATCATGATAAAATGATTCCCTTTATAACAAAAATTCATTTCTTTTTCAATAACACTTTCATCCCCTGACTTCAATCAGATAATAATCCTTTTAAGTGGCAATTTGGCCCTTTTTTCCCCAAAATCTATACAACTTATATACACCTATACCAATATTTTAAACTGTTTTGTGTTCATGTGTGCTAAGTTCATGAGACATTTGAGTTGATTAATTAACAAAGTGGTATACTGATAATGCTCTTGTTTTTTATTACCAACTCACCAGTCAAAGAACTTCTAACCCAGGACCTACTTGTTCCCAGCGAAGCTATTGCAGAAGGAAATAACTTAGAGCAAAGATTATCAAGAATGTATTTAAACTTATTCCATAATCAACTAAACCAGGTGATGATACTTTGACAGCCGTACCAAAGTCTATAGAGATAGCCAAACACTTCACCCCCAAAGGATACCAGATCATCGGAGACAACCTGAATCTTTGTATTAATGCTAGGCATAAGTACAGTGAAGCAATGAAAAAAATCCATCCATCACGGTTTATATGATGATGTCTAATTATATATTTATAGTGATAATACACAAATAACTCTTGAGTAAAATGTATGTTGCCAGTTAAATAAATATTTGACCAAAAATTGTCAGAGTACCTGATAAGTAGTTACTTAGACTGTTTCTTTTGTCTGTTGACAATCTTTGTTTTTTGTTTAGATACCTCTTGGTTGCCTTCAAAAATATGAAAGGAGAATGTCTGCATATGGCCTGAGTTTTCTGGTGAGTGTAGTCTCAAACTTCAGCTGTGTGTGTTTCCCTTTACTAACCCCCTGAGGTGTTAAACACAAGGGGCTACGGGTGAGGAGAAGGTGGAAAGCTCGGTATACAGGTGCATGTTAATTTTAAATTAGTTCTCAAAATGATTGCCACAGTTAGTGTTTGCTAAACCTGTGTATGTATCCTTGTTACTTACCTGCAAAACAAGTCTACTTAGAAAGCCAAGGGAGGCTAGTTGACCTGTGAATAATACTTACCATTTTTATTACACACATTTTGCCCTGTCCCCCTTTTCCAAACAGAAATCAAACAATTAAATTGTACTTTCAGGGACTGCAGAACATACTTTACATTGGTAGGGCTAGCTTGTGCTATAAGCAAGCTCAATGAGCACCCAATTTGAAATTTTGAGCTTCTGAAATCACCAGAAACATGTTTATTTCTTTCAATCCAATGAAAATTTTTTAAAAATTTGTATAAATGTGTACTTGAGACAGCTCTCTTATAGTTGTCATTATTGGGGTCATTGTTGTTGAGCAAACCAAAGGTAATTTTCTCAATGCAAAAAAAAGGGTGAAATTATTGGTGGAGCTATAACCCATCAAGCTCCATGGTCCTTGACTTTACCTGCTACAGTATGGTAAAGTTACAAGTGTATCAAGTTTGAAAATAATGATTTCAGTAGATCTTATAGGTAAGTTTAGTCAGTTATGTGATGAAGAACTGTATGACTCTTTGAGATCCGCACATCAGTCTCACCCCTAGTGTTACTATAAAAGTGGCAAAAGGCTTAATACGCAATGGCATATTGATGGGAAAGTTCATGTAAACATGGAATGATTTAGTCATGTTGTTGGCCTGCAACTTATTCTATGTGGATTTCTCTAAAATGGCAGTCAATACATACAAGGGGAAAACTACACCTTTTTTCCAAATTTGGAATCACAACCAACTGATTTAAATTCAATGTAAATGAGTTTACAAATACCATAGTTATATTTGTACATATAACAAATCAACCACATTTTTCTATGTTCTACACACCTATGACATCATAAAATGTTCAAGGCTTAAATAGAACCATGAGCTGTCAGGCAGGTGGTTTCACTGTTAGGTGAGGGGGTGGGGGGTGAGGGTAGGAGAGCATTCTTGTAGATGTATTTTTATCAAAAGAATGTTGCTATGACTCAACTGAATCTGGGTTATATTGCAACTAAAGAGAAAATCTTCTCTATTCTTGGTTTGCACGTGATGTCACACTCATATTTGATATTTCCTGTCCGTCATCTTGGTGTACATGTGGCTCATTTGCATATGTCAAACTGCCCATGTGTGCTATGTTTTTATTCAAGTCTTGCGAATGTCTGAAGTTTTACTATTGATTCCAAAGAAAATGACAGCAACCAAAGTGAAAATATCAAAGAAGAAAGTACTAATGTGTTATCTGAGTATGTAAAGGGTCTTGAAAGTTGCGTTAAACACCAATATTTAGGAAAAATAGCTGCAATCAGAATTGATCCAGCATTATTAGTAGTGGCAAAGTTAGATCCAGAATGTATCCCGTTGATCGAAGCAGCCGATCTTCTCTCATATTTAGTGCTGGAAACCAGCTATTACACGCTGAAACAGTTCAAAGCCCATAAGAGTTTGGAGGCTTACAACCAGATGATTTCTGGCTTTATAACAAGCATTCAAAGCAAAATAATCAGTGATAAGTTTGTTGTGGTTGAAAAAGTGCGACATTCACAGGGAATGACTGAAGCTCCATTACCTGTATGGATCATTGCCAGTAAAGAGGGAACGATCATATCTGCTCACTGTCTAGGCTGCAAAGCCAGACTAGCAAATTCATGCTCTCATGTGGCAAGTGTTCTATTCTATGTCGAGGCATGGACAAGGATTAATGGCAAACTTGCTTGTACCCAAGTAAAGTGCATGTAGCTACTTCCTGCATACGTAAATGAGGTTCCATACTCTGAAGTTAAAGACATAAACTTTAAATCGGCAAGGAGAATAAGAAATGAAATGGATAAAGAAGTCAATGGTAAGAATTCCTGTTCCGCATCTCCAAGTAGTGAAAGTTGCAGTAACTCCAACCACAAGAAGGTCGCAAAGGCAGAAATGCTTGGCTATCCATCTGTTAAGGAGATAAACAGTCTTTTGTCAAAACTGAACAAAGATAAACAGAAGGCTGCTATCCTCAGTTTAATTCCTCCATATTCAAAGTCTTTCATTTGAAAAAGTCATCAGATACCTATCTTGCTAGACCTTTTTGATTCTGAGAACATCAAACTGACATATCCAGATTTAATGAAAAAGTGCTTAGAAACTGAGATATCAATTTCCGGTGAGGAGCTAAAAGCTATCGAAAAAGATACAAGAGATCAATCAAGCGGAGCTGCATTTTTCCGACATAGAGCTGGACGTATTGGAGCTTCTCAGAGCTTCTCAGTTGCTCACACAAATCCTGCCCAACCAGCACAGACCCTCATCAAGTCCATTTGTTACCCCCAGTTATTTAAATTTAACAACAGTACAGTTAATCATGGTCATATCTACGAAGAGAAAGCAGTAGCAGCATCGACAATGTAATGTCAGAAAATCACAAAGATTTCAAGGTTACCAAATGTGGAGGTTTTATTGACCAGACACTACCATGGTTACATGCTGACTTCCTCTGTACTTGCTCTTGTTGTGGGGATGGCTGTGGGGAAGTCAAATGCCCCTACAGTATTCAAAACTGGGACTTTGAAAGCTATCTTTTAAAGAAAAGTTCCTGCCTAGAGAAAGTTGACGGTATATTTAAACTGAAGAGAAACCATGACTATTTCTATCAGGTGCAGCAGCAACTTTCCATTACTGGATCAAAATACTGTGATTTTGTTGTGTATGCTTTTAACAACAATAAACCAATCTTTTTCATGGAAAGAATCCTACCTGACCCCAATCACTGGGAGACTGTTGTCCCTAAGCTGACAAAAGTATGGAGGACATGTGTGCTACCTGAGCTTTTAGTAAGGTGGTACACAAGGAAACAGCATGCTCCAAGTCTTACTCTGCAAGCACATCAAGTGGACCTTGCTATTGTAGAACCAAGACCCAAGAAAGAACCATCCACTGCTCTAATCCAGAGTGTCCTGTAAAGGAATTTCACTACTCATGTTTACAAGTGTCAGACCCTATTCTCAAGATCTGATATTGTCCTAACTGCCGCTTGCAAAAGAAATTCCAGAAACCCAGAAGGGCATTGAAAACTGAGAATACATCACAACAGAACAGTGAAGTCATGAAATTGGACAGCATATGTGTTTGTGGTACAAAACCCTCGGTCAATGATAAGCTACTGAAGTGCCATAGTTTGGATGGTCAAAATGGAAAATGTTTTCATTTAAATTGTCTGGATTACAAAAGGATGCCAAATAATAGTCAAACCACATGGTTATGTAGCAGTTGTAAAGAGAAAGTTGGTTCAACTAAAGGCAAAAATGCTAAATCAATACCTCATGTATCAACAAACATAGACAGTCATTTGTTTGGATCATGTCTTGTAAATGATGCTTCAAATAGGTTTCATACTTCAAACAATCCCAATGAAAATATGTCAAAAGCAGCATTAAAGAATGGAAGTGTTGCTATTAATCCTACCACTTGTTCTTCCACCACTTCTTTTTCAAACAATGTTCCTGTATTACCGTTACCTCCAGGTAACATTAACAATAACTTGACGCACCCCACTGGTACAATGAAAGGCACTGATTCTAATAGGGCCAATGCAAATGCTGGTTGTTCTGTGCCACATTCACCTACAGGTAGCAATGACAATATAGGAAACTGTGCAAGTGATGATGACATCGAGATAACAAAACTAGCTGAAGGGGAAACCAACAAACATGCATCCCTTGGTAATCTTTCTGATAACCATTTTGATACCATTCTTTCTCCTACTGGTTGACTGAACTGCACTATAATTCAGCAAGCTCATGCATGTTGACAGAAAGTTAACCTATTCATTGAAGGCTTCCAAAGACCAACTCTTGGCCCTGTTTGAAATTTCGATATCATGACTGGAGAATTTGTACAGATATCACACACTGGACATTCTCACTGGGTATGTATCAGTTCAGTTGGATGTCAACCTAATGTGGTTAATCTCTTTGATAGTCTCTCTCATGATATCATAGAAAGAGAGGTCAAAGAACAGGTTGAAAGTTCGATGGCAGACAGCAATGTTGAAATCACTAGTATGCCAGTACAACAGCAGCAAAATGGCAGTGACTGTGGGATTTTTGCGATTGCTTTTTCAACATGCATTGTTTTTGATTTGGACCCCAGAGACATGACATTTGACATCCCTAGGATGCGTCCGCACTTATCTCAGTGTTTGAAAGATGGCATAATTACCCCTTTTCCTACATGTTAAGTCAAATGAAAACAAAGTTTTGCTGTGAACTTTATAAAAAAAATATGAACACCACCTTTTGTTCAATTTAAATAAATCTAATGATAACATTAATTTTTAAATTTCAAACAGCAAAGTTAAAATGTTTATTTATTAATAGCTTGTAATTATGATCAATAGATAGTTATGTTTATTCTAACCACTTTCAACTTCAATAATGTAGCTGAATTACAGGTCAGTTGCAGGAATGATGAAAGTTCCAGAGTCTTTTTGGGAATTAGAATAGGTTGTTTTGCATCAAAAGATGCTTGTAAATACATGGTTAAGATAACTTTTCTGATGGTCCTTTTCATGAAATAGCATAACATAAAATCAATGAACTATATTCAAACATCAACGTGTGGAACCGAAAAAAAAAAATTAATTACTGAACTTGAGGCCAATCATAACCAATTCTACATTTCTCAAAGTTATTGAACTATAATCTT